ATTTACTTATACTTACCATCAAACGTCAAAAAGTCCAGATGTTTCGACATTCAATTTAACTTCTCAAAGCTCTAGTGTATTTATTTGGGTATAAAATTTGGAATAATATATAAAAACTTAAATAATAATATATAAAAACTTAAATATTTTTAATATTAAACATTGTCTTTTCCCCCTTCCTCACGAAGGGCGGGGTAACCATTAAAGCGTTTTAAATTTGAATTAACTTCTCAGTTTCGTATTTCGGTAATAAAATTATTAGCGACGAAAAATTTCGACTTAATTTGCATGGATGAGGATTTATTCGCAGAAAATGCATCTCTGGGATGTTCCAAACATTCTGTGCTTTTTGCCGTATTTTTATCTTCAGAAACATTAAGCCCACCAGTGGCCAAGCGGTGAAGTCGCTGAACACTGGTAGCTCTGTCGGAGGTTCGAATCCCGCGAACGGGCTGGCTGCATGGGCGTTTTCGTGGTTTTCCCCATGTGTAACGTGTACGTGAGCCAGTTTCCCTTAGGAAGTCCTCCACGAAGGCATCCCTCCCCTTAGGCAGATAGCCCTCGAGGCTTTGCCATAATCACACACGCACATTAGAAACACTAAATTTTTTTGTAAGACTTAGGTATTTGTTATCACCACCAGACTTCTATTCTTTTAAGCTTTCTGTCACAGAGAAATTTTATTAATCTTCAAAATTACAGTTCTTTTCATATATCAGATGAGTTTTACCAAACATCATTTTCATCCGCAAAGGAAAGTTATTTTAAAGCTGAGGACATATGCGGTGGGTGTCTAATTGCAGCATTCAGTCGCAGCATGGGATGTCGCAGGATAAGAAGTTTCAAACCTTGATTTTCAACTACTCTTATGGGGAGTATAGAATGGAAGGAATGCTGTTTTTATTCATCTTAGACATTTCGTTTGGAATTTGTTTTATCATTGCCGTGCATATTTATAAAAGTAAGTATTAAAATAATTTTTTACAAAATTTATGGGGCTATTTCTGGAAAATTTCTCGATAAATCGTTAATTTACTTTTCCTCGAAACAATAAATTTCGTGAGGGAATCGTGAGAAGAAATGTTGAAAGGGGAGAGAGAATTTGAGGAGATGATAGAAGATAAATTAAATCTTAGAATTATTCTGAATTTGGAGAAATTTTTAATGGTGAACACCAAAAAGATTCATTGTTTCTATTTTTCCGCCGAAATATATTCCGAGGGGGGGGGAGAAACAAAATAAATAGTGTAGAATTAAAAGTTGGTCGAAATTTTGGTGTACATGGAAATTTTTAACGAAATCAAATTCTTTGAATAGCAGGTCAAAAGACAAATTTAAGACTTTTAAATCAATGCTTCCAAGTATGTAACTTTAAAAAGGAAGATTGTGAAAATTGACCTTTCAAATGCACGGAACTGTTTCATTTAAAATCAGTGCCAAGGACTGAATATTATCGACGGCTGCATGGGCGTGTTCGTGGTTCTCCCCATGTGTAACATGTCTACGAGCCACTTTCTCTTAGAAAGTCCTCCACAAAGGCATCCATCCCCTTAGGCAGATAGCCGTAGTGGGCTTTGCCGTAATCTTAATAAACCAAACGTTATTAATGCCCAAAATACTGTAATAAATTCATCATCTAAAAATTCTCCTCCCTTTACATCAATGGATACGCTAAAGAAATGCTTTGAAGGAGGGACATGAAAAGAAATTGTTTGCTTTGTTACCCATATACGTCAGAAATGTGCTTAGTTTTTCCAGAAATTTCTGGAGCTTTGGTCGCCCACCCATAAGTCACCGGTGACCGAGGGCTTTCGTTGTTACGTATGTTTGGCGTAATTTAATGTTAGAAATGTTCTTAGAGGAATACAATAATTCCTGGAGTATTCACGCTAGCCCACAGATCACCGATGACTGATGGCCTTGAAGATTGCCTGCATTCGGTATAATTTTTATGTTCTCAGTCTTCTAAGATTTCTAGATAGTTGATCGCCAACTCGTATATCACCGGTGACCGACGACTTTGATGATTACCAACGTTTGGTGTAATTTTGGCTTTAAAAATACCCTTATTGCAATTCCAAAATGTCTGTAGCATTAACCTCCAACCCACAGATCACTGGTGACCAACTATGGTCTTGATGGTTACGTATGTTCGGTTTAATTTTGTTTTTGGAGTTTTTTTTTTTTTTTTTTCTTCTGTTGTTGTTGTCCAAAGCTTCTCGAGCGCTAATTGTTAATTGATAGATTGCGAGTGATTGATTCTACGTACTATGCGCTTAGATAGAATCGCTTGATTTTATTTTTAAATATACAATATATTTTAAATATACAATATAATGACAATTGCCTTTTCAAAAAAAAAAGTATCTCCCATACGTAATCTGAACAAAATAAAGACAGTAAATAGTAGAAGGAACAAAATAAAGACAGTAAATAGTAGCAAACTCGGAAACAGGAATTATATTTTATTTTAGATATCTGGGATGTGAGTGGTAACTATAAATTTTCAAGAACTCAGATTTCTGTCACGGTATCCAGTCTTTATTAATTGGGGGTAAAGATTTCAACATCTTTTCAGTAGGTACCATAATCATGGAATTTTACTCAAGGCATCTGTTGGCATCGGCTGTAGTTCGCAACAGTGGAACTGAATGTCACGTGATGTAATCCACTGAGGATTGAGGTCAGTTCGTAAAGCCTTGAGCGACACCTGCTGCAAAGAACTTTAATATCGTCAAGTGATATAACCGAAATATTGACTTCAGCAAGGTAAAGGGAAGTCCCGATACTGGATTGTTCTTAATGCGAGTTCACGCAAACAAGACCTTGACTATCGATGATGTTGTGTATGTGTTGAAGTATGAAACGTCGGCAGTCTATAGAATACCTAAGCATTTTATAGAACGCCCGGCGTTTTTAATGTAAAGTGTGAAATATGAGAATTATTATATGTTTTATTTAGGCATTATATATAAGCATTCTATAAAATGACAAATACTCTTTAAGCAAAGTATGAGAAGAAGACCATGATAAGGCTATTATTTAAAAGACGTTCATTCCTCAAAAGTACAAATGTTATTTTGAAAAAATAGACGTTCATCCTCAAAAATACAAATGCTATATTTTGAAAAAATAATGAAAGAGTGCCATTAAAATTTTTTCGTTCAAAATGCATTAAATCATTTGTTGCAACATGACAGGTTTGAATGACATTTTTAATTCACTTCATTACTTTTTTCACACAAAGGCATTTTATACATCGGCAGTTTCCACACGTACACTTGACGATTCCGTGGGCATTTCCATTGGACTGTGCAACTGCTATAAGGTATTTCTCCCGTCTTCTTGGCTTGCCTTCGTGGTGTGGTGCTCTGCTCGCTGAGCGCGTATTCAAGAAGTCCTCGGTTCGATTCCCGGTGAAGACGTTCCTAAATTTTCATGACTCCTGCTTCCAAAAATACCTAATATATGTACACTGCAACTGACCAGAAAGTAATTTCGTGGTCAGGACTATGTTCAATTCTAAGGAAATTCTTAGAACATAAAATAAACTGTGATTTCGTACATAACTGTTTTAAAACTCTTCCAGAATTTTCAAGTCGGTAGAAACTATGTTCTGTCATACTGCCAATATATTGCACGAATTATATATTTTCCTTAGGCATTGTATATAATATGGAAATGCATTTCGGACTTTACCGGCGCAGCAGCGCCCGAGCGGTTAAGTCGCTGAACACTGGTAGTTCGGTCCGAGGTTCGAATCCCGCGAACGGGCTGGCTGCACGGGTGTTTTCGTGTTTTTTTTCCATGTGTAACGTGTATACGAGCCAGTTTCCCTTAGAAAGTCCATTTGACATTCTATAGAATGCGTAGGTAACGCGCGAACTGTTTAATCTTTATATACAAAGCCGGCCAGTTTTCGGCGTTCTATAAAATGCCTAGGTATTCTATTAAAATGGCGGATTTCATACATTTTCGGTAACATATGCAAAGATGTTACCAGAAAATACCAAGCGAATGCTCAAAAAAGAAAAGGAAAATAAACAAACTATTCTAAAAGGTCTTATTATTTCCATTTGATGGAAAAAGTAACGACAGGAGAAGCAGGAAGTGATCTATAGTTACTTTATAATGGTAATTTGTTTATCAGCTTAATGAAGTGGATCATTTTATAATTTTTTTAAAAAATCGTTTCTTTCTTTCAAGAAATGTGAAAGGGGAATTAATCTCACGATGCATACTTACGGCGACATTAATTATTCTGTGAGTGAATTATTATGAAACTTTTTATAGTACGGTAATAATTCCTTTTAAATTTTTATATTTTGCAGGTTTTTGAGATTTTGCAGAATTTTTGTCATTATTTTATTACTTCATTTTTAAATAAATTGTGCATAAGTGCCGACATCAAGAAATTCTTTCAAGAAAAGAATGATATATGTTTGATTATTTCGTCAAAAAAGATATAGTAGTTTTAAGCCAGGAATTTTCAACCACCGGTTAAATTCTCCCCTAGAGTGTAAAATTTCATAGTTTCAGCCGGGAGTGGGTGGAATGCTGTCAGCCCTTATGTTTAGTATTTATCAACATTTTCTGTGCTTTTTGTTATTTAATTTATAAAAACACGTTGAAGAATAAACTAAATCTAAAACATGTATAATATTTTTCGAGTTTTGAAAAGAAGATGGAGAGAATGATCTTTTAGCAATGGTGAAATGGATACATGGGCCAAAGCAGGCCGAAAACCCCTGTTTTAAGCTCCCTTTTAGGAACTTCGTTGTTTCGTTAATTTTATATCTGAGTAACTGTACACGGATGAACTTTAGCATTTCTAGGCAATATCATATGCATGTATAAATTAATCTTGAAGATGGGAAGAGTGCACAGAATATAGCAAGTCAGCTTTATGTGTTATTCCTTCATTTGATTATTCTTCTGTATTTTGCAAGAGTATGTAATATAGGCTGTTTTTTATGTTAATACTTTTTCTTTTTGTTTAGGCATGACGTGTTAGTGGCTGTAAGAGTTTCCGAAAGAATATGTAAGTTTTTTAATATTAATTGTATTTTGAACTTAAGTGTCTATTCACTCTGTAACTTAAATACCAAAGTTATCTTAGGCACAAGTTTTAATCATCATAGGAATTAAACACTCTTAATAAACCATAGGAATTAATCACTGGATTAAATGAAATAGATTTGTAATGCTATGCAATGGTTTGACTGTAAAATTTCTAATTCTGCTTTTAATACAACCATCTGCATCAAAAATAAAATCCAAATAGCAATGATTATATTTTGTAGTAACATATAGTTCACAATCTTCTTATGCGTACTTTTTTCCCTAAATTTTATTCAAAATGTAATTTACTTTTCAGTGGTGGGAATTTTCGTTTTTAAACCATTTTATTTTTAAAAAAGAAATGAAGAAACAAACGCATGAACTTAAAACTTTTTTTCTAAAATTTAATTTCGTTCAACGGTAAAGATTTAGTTTAATCAATTTGCAATAGTAATAGTCAGTATAATTCGCAACAGTAACAGTTTCGTTGCGTCAGTATACATATTACGTTTATTTATTCAATAGTAAAACCTTCTTCGAGGTGTTCGACTGTAACCTAGAAGATTTATGATAAAAAGTTGTCCCCCCGGGGGGTAGGAGGATATTTTTTTGTAGTATGCATCTGTTATATGAAGTTATTTACGAATTAGTCATTAGTGTCTCGCTTTCTGCAGATTTATGTTCCGTCAAAAATAAAAGAAATGACTCACGACAATTTTTGAAAGCCTGGTTTTTTTATTCTACAAAGAGCTTTTTGGGAGTTAGCGATAATTTACGTCTTTTCGCAAAATTTGTTTTCTTTATTTTCGTTTATCCTAACGAGACAGATCTTCGGAACAGGAGAAATAACGCGTTCAGGAGAAAATAACGCTAGAGGTCAGGTTCCGAAGATACCGCCATCATCGAAGATCCTTTCTTCAAGAACGCATCTTTGGCTACCATTTCCTCTGCAAGCTTTTAATTTCTGCAAGGAAAGACGGTCCCTGGAGCTTCAGAATCTCTACCAATGGTGACATCATCATTATAAGCCTGAGGCTATGATCTGCAGCTTGGAAATAATGCGCTGCGAGGGGCATTTAAAATGTGATGTGTCAAACTGGTAGGTTGAGAGAAGTTACAAAGTTCCTCACACAGCTCTCTCGCAATGCTTTTCCATGGACTACAGACTTTTTCTTGTTTAGCGAGTTTAGGAACCCATAAAAGTAACCGAAGGTGTGTGACTGTATCAAACATAAAATAAAGTGTCTCCACTTTTAAATATATTTGTTAAAATGAAGGTTTTAGAGAAAATTAAAAATCAGAACTGAGCTATTTATGCGGAACTCAGCAGATCGTAAAATTAAACGAAACAAAACAAAACAAAACAAACAAAAAATAATCAATCAATAATTTATTATGGAAAATACGTCACGAGGGATGTTTTAGGTGAACAAGCAATGAAATACCTGCGATGATTGATTCATTATTATATTCAAATATTAATACATTATATTTATAGATAATGCATTTTCAAAATTAATTATGCGAAAAGGAGAACCAGAAACAGAACTATATGAGTAGTCTCCGAAAGAAAAAAAATTGTAAGTTTTTCCGCATCACACTAGGTGGCGATAAACTGTGTCATCGATAAATCAAACATGTGGAGGAAAAGTGCCTGATTTAATGCCATGTGGTATCTTCTGTGCTAGGCTACAAAGATGGATAAAGTATGCCTTCTGATATTTAGAATTTGGAAAAAAAAAAAAAAAAAAAAAAAAAGCTAATCGCCGTGATTACAAAAGAAGTGCTGAACATAGCATGGTATGTGGTTTGGGTCCCCTGTGTTTTAAATTACTGTGTGACCATCTGTCGAGCCATATTTTGATGTTTGGGAGTCATTAAGTTTTTGAGTCAGAAATTCTGAAAAACAGTTAAAAAATTTCCAAGTGTTAACTAGATTTGCTGATTATTGTACCATTAAAAATATTGGAGAAATACCTTGTAATTTTTTACCTTCTTACCATTATAAAAGTAACGTGGGCAAGGAGGCAAGACGTAAGTAAGGAGTTATTGTCTCCATATTTTAGTTTAGGTACCACTAAGCGAATTTGAGACCTAGTTTTAAATGGATGTGCTGACCATGCACTCTTAGAATATATAGAAGAAAAGCTTTTAATTTCCATAACAAGATGACCGAGTAAGGGACGAAGCCACTGGATTCTACTTAATTCTACTGTTATTGTTCATTCTTTATCTCGTCATTAGCTAAGCTAGCTCACCTCTAATATCCACGATCCTTCAGCATCTGAGTAGATGAAAACCATAACACCCTATTGGTAGATAACCCTTGCGCTTTTCAAGTAGCAAATTAACAAACTCAGAATGAGTACTTGTGAATGAGTATAGTTGCGCTTGACGTTATTCGCATTAGTGTGAACACCAGGGATGACGGTACTACTGGTACAACATTATGGGATCTCGCACACCCGTCTTACGCTCAGTGGCGTAGCTAGAGTGGGGCAAATCCCTCCCCGGGTGCAGTGTCTAGGCGGCGTCAAATCGATGCTAAGAATTTTTTTAATGAAATAGTTTCCATTCTTGGCACACAGAAAGGAGCGCAAATTCTTCCGTTGTCCCCGAGCGCTGAAATCCTAGCTACGCCACTGCCTACGCTAAACACCAGATATCCTTGTCTTCTGTCAGCTGTATCACTTGCTCTTAGACCAATTTCTGCAGACCAATTTCTATTGCGCATAGATAGAAGAGTCACAAGCAGCTTTGTCTTTTCCACGGTGGTTGAAAATTGGATTTTGGTTTAAGGAACATGATTCATTGAATCCCATACTTAATCTTTGCTAAAAAAGCAAAGCCTAGTAGCGATAAAAATGTTTTATTTTGCTTTGAATTCATTAAATCTCAGATGGCAACAAACATGACATTTCGATTTTCTATCACCCCTCTCCCTCAAGCTATTAAATTGTAGCACAGCGTTTGTTGCCATGAGCATAAGCACGTTGTAGCTTTGACAACCGACCAGCAGTTCTTAAAATACGAAGAAACAATTGTCTACTAACCTTGAAGTTTCGAACCAAGAGTTAAAAGAAAAATTTTCCTTTAGGGGGAGGGAATCAATTTCCGGGAATATTTCTCTTAATGAACTATCTTTTATGTTCCTGTTAGAAAATACAAGCTTTCCCTGAACTTGGCCTCTGCAATTTGATTTAAATTCCAAAAACAATCCGGCATTTCTCAATAAATGTCAGTCTTTCAGAACAGGGAAGAGAAGACAAAAAAAAAAAAAAAAAAAAAAAAAAAAAAAAAAAAGTTTCTTTTTCCTCTCCTCACCGTTCCTCTTTGGAAACTCGTTTTCGCCGCTTAAAAAATATTCGTCTGCAGGTGTGTGTACGCATGTTGCGGTCTGGTATTTCAACAGAAGACCATTTGTTTAATTGTAGGATATACACACCACTTTCCCTTCCCAATTTTTTATTTACAGACTTGTGATTTTTACTTTTCCTTTCTTTTTTTTCCCCGTGTGTGTGTGTGTATGAACGAGTGTGCAAATTTATATATTAAATTTTTTCCCGGCGCACGTGGACTGCGGATGCGCAAGCTTCCTTTATCTGAATGCTTTGTAGACATTCTTTCTTCAAGTGTGAGAACGGAATGTTCAACAATTGTTATAGTATTTACTGGGAAATTACGATTGTGTTTTCTCAGTCTTACCTACTGTGTTCATTTCTTTTTCTCTTCGCGATAATGCATTAAATGTTTTTAGAAACAAATACCTTTAAAATTAAAAATAAATAAATAAATAAAAATTCCTTATCTGAAAGCTTTAGATTACAATTTAAATTAGCTTTGCTTAAATTTACTTTATTTAGTTACTTAAATTTACTTTATTTGCTTTATTTAGATTGCTTTAAAGAGATTGCTATTGAAAATTTCAAAAGTTAAAGAGTGTAATTAAAAAAAAAAAAAAAAATTACAATCTTATCTTTGTATTCAGCAGTAGCTGAGCGGTAAGATCGCTGAACATTGACAGTTTGACCCTTGTTTAAATCCTGCATGAAAGTTTTTTTTTTTTTTTTTCTTCCCCACATGTAGCGTAAATACGAGCTAGTCTCCTTTAAAAGGTCGCCTCATCAGAGGTCGAGTGGTTAAGGCCGCTGAATGCTTGGAGTTCTACCTGGGTTCGTTCTTATGTGAGCGAGCTGACTAAATGGATGGTTTTACCGTGTGTAATATGAATTCGAGCCAGTTTCTCTTAGCAAGTCATCCGCGAAGGCATCCCTAACCTTAAGCAGATAGCTCTCGTTTGATTTACCACATTCAAATAACCCTTAAAACGTCCTCCGCAAAAGCATCTTCCTCCATAAGCAGATAGCCCTGGAAAGGTACAAAGCATACATTTAAAACGAGCTGTAAAAAATAATGATGCCAAACTATGAAAAGAAAAACTTAGATATTATTTCAACATAAATTAGATCATACTAGTGGCCGAACGCTAAAATCGCTCAACACTGTTTATTTGACCGGAGTTAAAATCCCAGCGAATGGGCTGGCTGCCTGAGAGTTTTCGAGGTTTCCTCATATGTAACGAGGATAACAGCCAGTTTCCCTTAGAAAGTCATCCAAGAAGCTTTCTTACCCTTAGACAAATAATCCTTGATTTGTCTTTTGAAGAATCGCAAAAATCACATGATATTCCAAATATACCTTTATTACGGTTCTAGGAAAAATGTCCACAGGAAAAAAGCCCACAGGAATAATGCTCACAGAATAATGCACACAGGTATAAATGCTCACAGGAAAAAAGGCCCACGCAGAAATATGCCCACATAGAAAAAAGCTCACATGGAAAAATGCTCACTTAGAAATATGCTCACACGGAAAAAAGCTCACACAGAAGTATGCTCACATGGAAATAAGCCCACTGATAAATAATTCACATAGAAATATCCTTATATTAATGAATCAATAATTAATCGATTTGAACAT